CCCAAACCCCTAACACCCCAAACCCCTAAACCCCAAACCCCTAAACCCCAAACCCCTAAACCCTAAACCCTAAAACCCTGAACCCCTAAACCCTAAGCCCTAAATCGTCTACAAAGGCCTCCTTACTCTTGGATCAGGGCCCGGGTCTCTCTGCCTTGGCGACTTTTCAATTCTCTTCTCTTGAAAGCAATTTCAGAGGACTCCGGGTCTGGGTGTAGGGTTTAGGGTTTAGGGTTTAGGGTTTAGGGTTTAGGGTTTAGGGTTTAGGGTTTAGGGTTTAGGGTGTCTAGATCGGATGATGGCGGTTTTGGTTTAGGGCCTTCGGGTTCCGGGTTTAGGGTGAGCATGGCTTGCTGCATGGCAGGTAGATTGGAGACTGAAGGCTTTCTACCGTTTGAGAGGGGGGTTAGGATGTGTGATCGGGGATTTCGCAGCCTTTTTTGGGTTTAGGGTCTAGACATCATGGTTCGGTAGTGTCACAAAAGTCAGGGACTGTTCAATCAAATCCCAAGGAAAATTATCCTGATAGGCGGGAACCCCGAAACCTTCGTGTGGGTTTGAGATTGGATGGTCTTTCTGGGGAGAGCCCTCTTCACCGTTTCTGGGATCCGGCTTTTGCAAGTTGGGATCAGGGTGCTTTGAGATACTGTTTTGAAGTTGGTAAGGTTTTGGGATCAAGGGTGCGAGAGGTCCATCTTGCGTGTGCGTTTGGGGTGGTATGGGCTGGGAAGATAGAAGAAGAAGAAGCTGCGGACAGCATTTAGGATCCATGCCCGCGGGCAGTACACAAAGCTAGCAAGCAACATCCCGTAAACAGCAACACGCATCACGAACCTCCACCCCAAACCTAAACCCCACGCCCATCCTGGGAACAAGGAACTTCCGGGTCAGCGTTATGCTGAACGATTCGGCGCTCATGAAGGCCAGGACCCAAACGAAAGCAGCAAACAGGACAAACATCTTCATGGATGTTTAGGCTCCCCTAAAACTGCCATTGATGGAAACCTAAATACCAAACTGGAAACCTGAAGTACTAGACCCTAAAGCCCTAATCGCTGAGCTTTTTAGACCCGGATTCCCAAAAGAAGCAGGAGATACAGAAGCAGAACAGCAACAAGAAGGAAGTACTGTAGGAGCCCAGTACTATTCTTGCGTTCCTTCCTACCCTTTTACCTCCAGATCTACCACCCCAC